CTGTGCATGAGGACCTCTGTTCCACAGATATCAGAGGTGCACCAAACTTCTGTGGTCTTTATAACCAACAAATCGCGAATCAGAAATAGCAGTACAATCTCTTTTATTTTGTTGCTTACAGGGTGGGCGTTAATCAGGCAAAACGAGAGTGAGTTAAGGGTGCAGAAGTGTCGGGATATATCTCGAAAGAAGTCAGCACTTTGTACATTCCTTGTGGGTCCTTTGCGTGTATCGTGCTAGCAATGTCATGACCTGCAGCGCAGGGCGATGAATCAGTACTGTTTACCTTGGAAGGAGAGGGGTATTCACCTCACTGTGATTGGTACAGAGACTATTGGTCGAGGTAGAGAGCAGATGATCCGACAGCGTTTGAATTACTCGCATTACTGATGGCGCCGTCAAGCATGCCCATCTACTTGCTGCCGTATATATTACGGCCATAGCCAACCTCATGTTCACCAGGTTTTTCCTTAGGGTATCTATTGCAAGTTTATCCTCTAGTGGTATGTGACCCACGTTCTTCGGCATATGGGTGGGGTAGAGTGCATAGTTTGTGACAGCCATTCTGCTCACCATCCAAATCTATGGCTGTCGAAGAGTCTGACCGTGGTGTGTCTCTGTTAGCGATCGCGGAAATGTTAAGAAATATGGATTGTTCGGACAGTAGTTATTTGGCTTGGTCAAAGGATGAACTGAGAAATAACGTTCGGCTTTTTCCTCAGTGCTGCTCTGCAAGGGTGCCATGGTTTTTCGGTTATCCGTATTGCTTTTCGTCTGTCAACTTGGCTACCTAATTGACTTTTCGGCTGTCTGATTGACCTGAGTGGGCGTATGTTAGGGTTTATATAAGAGTATCTAATGCTACCCATACTCTTTGTCATCTGTTCATTTGATGCATGCAAGTCATGCACTGGTTGATGTGGTAGTAGATTAAACTGTTTACACGCTAGGCTTCCAGATGGTCCTATGGAGACAGAGTGCTTGTCTCTGGTGCTCGGTGTGTTCATAGGCTGAGAAACCCTTGGTGACTACATAGTAATGTCTTCAGTATTTTGTTAGACCGACAGCATGGCACTTGGTCTGGTGGTGATTTGTGTGAGATGGGAATTGGCTTTCCACCTCTGTGGGCAGTGAGAGAGATCATGTACCTGTTCTTGAGTGTATTTTGTCGATTTTCCCGAACACGCCGTCGTGTCGTCGGCTCCTCTACTTCTGTGTGTCCCAGTGGGCTATTTCCGGGGATTTAGTGTGTCACATTCCGCTGGTTTGGTACAGTAACCAGTTCACTAACAGAATGCGTTGCTGTTGTGGATGCCACAGCCCGACTAGATTTTGCAATCTTTGGTATTTTAATGCCACTACGTCTTTGACAAGGTATGAAGTCTTCTGAAAGTTTGACACTTTTATATGGTATGGATACACTGATAAGTTGATTGGATGGTGGGAAGTGTCTGGCGTGGTAAGAGCTGCTAAATTTGAACAGCGGTGGGCAGGTATATTTCCCCAACTTCTTGCAGGGATGGATAACTTGGCATTCTGCAGGAGACATTACAAGCCTGCAAACATAAGGCTTGAAGTTTTTTGGTGGGTTCGCGGTCGAATATGTTGTATACTAGTACATTATATGACGACACAAGTCTTTTGTGGACCTCTGTAGCCATGGAATCTAGCACACCTGATTTCAATAGGCTTTCAGTACCGGCTTTTAGATTAGGCCGACAAAGATCCAACAGTGAGAGGATAACTTCAGGCCTAGCGTCCTGTCTTGAAGTGACTTCTTCCTTACTTTTAGGTGAAGTGTTATATAGCTCTGGGATCAGGTAGAGTGCGTCAACTTCAGGGCCTCTTTAAAAGCTTGATGTCGAACCGGTTAGCCGACGTGGCCTTTTAGTTGAGATACTAGGATTAAGTTTACGTGTATGTGCAGCACATATACCTTTGTCGGGCTGTTGAACAGTAGTAGTTACTCATTTACTGGGTTCGTTATTACCAAAAAACAAGCAATATAACCATAGCTTCAAACTTCGTGTTGTAGAATCGGCGAACTGCGGTTCCTTGGGTTCTACGTCTGTCTTATTGGAATACATTCTGAGTTTGGAATGGTCACAATTATCTTTCCGGTCCCAAAAAACCTGAAAGGATAGAGATACGATTAATCAATTAATCTCGTGTCAAGTTAGTATTACTGCATCTAGTCTGGGGAAAGCTTCTCGAGTATAGCCCAACGGTACCGTAGGACTCGAGGTGTGCGTCTAGCCTCCTTTTAAAGGTGTCAGGGGGTGGGGCTGTAACAACTACTGAAGGGAGGGAATTCCACAGTTTTCAGACTACCTGCAAATGAGTTAGCATGGATCATTGTACGTGTTCTCTCATGCTCTATTCTTAACGGATGACCCCTCAAGTTGCGTTTTCGACTAAAGCTTAGAAAGTTACAGAAGGCCCAGAAACTTCTTATGTAACAAATATGATAGTTATCAACAGGTGTTTTGCTACAGTTTAGGTAAGGTATATTGCAAAACTATTACGTCTCGAAGCTCACAGGGTTAGTTCATGACTGAACAAAGTGAAACAGACAAAAAATTTCCCTGCAATTCAGCCCTCGTTTTAGTTCCTTTGTTTTCTCAGCAGTAATGTCTTGCGTCCCGCTGTGTATATCCAACGGGTATCTCTTGAAGATGTATTCTTTAACGTTCCAAAAAAGGGGTATGATCCTCATGGGGTTGAGATTCTGACAAAAAGAGGCAATATTGCTCCGAATTTTTCTTCCGTACAGACAGACCTACTAGGCTGTGCAGAGTACCGATATAAAATACCATGATATGCAGGAGCCTTAGAGTTATTTCTTCCTGATACTCCTGAACAAGTATTTCCGGAAAGAAATGGTAACATATCAACGCCTGATGAAGTACTTTCCCCTTGAATAAGCTCTCAGACACAAAGAAATCAAATGCAAATACAGAGGATAAAACCTAACGATGCAATGGGATGCACTAACAAATAATCCAGGAAGGCCGTCTAATTTTGCAGTTGACATTATTATGCAGCCAACTGAATTCATCTTTGAACCAAGACCATCAAATGTGGGTGCAGAGCGCATGCATGCAGTTGAAGATGTTCAAACTGTCTAAGGATATGCTTTAACGAATTTAAAACGATATCGGTAATTTGCTCATAATAATATCGTTTTTATTGAAGTTAAGGAATAGTGCTCAGGACCAACAAGCCCATAAATGACATCGGATAACTGGTCACATCGCAGTAATATGAGTAAAGCACGACAGTGCATCAGCAAACAAAAACTTCCCTCTGTGTCACTTAGAGTGGGATGAACAACCACCTCTGGAATGTTGGCCTATACACATCTTGTCACTGCATTGACACATTTTTTGTCGCTCTGTCAATCCATTATCCACAAATCACTGGGAAATAGTACTTGCAAGAAATTATATATGCAGCAACTGAATAACCTCCGGGAGAGTCCTGAGTCTGCAGTCATTTCAGATGCTAGAATAATTAAGGTATGGAGAATAGTAGACAATGAAGAAGACACCGGAAACTCCAAAACGGCGTTAGAATGCTACATATATATACATACATATATATATATATATATATATATGTATATATACACCAAAAGTTACTTGCAGGCATTTAACCTAGGAAAACGCCGAACAATCTCTCCCATCACTTGTGAAGCTGAAAGTAAGCGGTACTATTTCTGCATCGCCTACTTCCCCGTACAAGAACTCTAATTCACTTGGGTGTTCTTAAAATACTATGTAAAAGTAATCGTGAAGTATCATGGAGACTTATGCCGTACAACGTCATTGCTAGTGATGAAGTGATTTTCGTGTCGCATAATCATCTTTTCAAATTAACCTCCTGACTAGTTGATGTCTGAAAAATCAGGTGGCTGAAAAAAGATAAAACTGAGTATGTAGACCTACTATAATCAGAAAAACAATGGGTACCTCTTCCAGCCTCCTGACTAAAAGTTAAAAATCTGGACTTTCAGAGTGGTAGACTGTCCTTTAATTGCAGACCAAGGGATATCCTATCAGGACATACTGGTGAAAAGAACTACTCGCTCGTAAGTACACACCAGTCTTCATACTTTCTTCCCTGATCAAATTTATGGAAACAGCACCGAGCAGAAAAGAACTCTGACTTTATCGCCATACCTGAGAAAGGAAACTGTTTTCCTAAAACCAGTTAAGGTACTCAGCCAATAAAATGCATTGCCTGTAGGCTTCTACCGTTCTATCTGTCGACAGCCTCAGGAAGAAGTTGGACACTCGCGCTGCGTTACTCGGCTTGCGCGAAGCCAGCTGAGATGCGAAATAGTTCAACACAACCAGCTGATTTCAGGACATTCCAACACAGTCAACGCGATACCGAATCTCTGATGCCCCCACTGTCATAGCGAACTTGAATCAACCTTGCAATTTACTGTAAGGCACTTCACCACCCATTGCTATACCCCCAAAAATAAAAGTACTATTTTTATTCCTTTTGTTATGCTCTAATCATAGCCACCACTTCTCCTCTCTCCGAATCTGTGGCTTCACTCTGTTTGTTAGAGTTTGTCTTATCGCTGTTCTGCCCCACGCTTTTTCTTCATTTACCTAGACTCTCATCCTTTCGTTCTGCTTCTACTCAACTTGGTTTTTCCTCCTTCATCCTCCTTGTTTCGCTGGACACCTTTCCATTATTCTTATCTCATTTTTGTACCCAGTGAAAACGAAAATCTGAGGACATAATATTTTGGCACTCAATCTGCACCAAAGTCTTTGAACAAACCATGCAAGCCCTGTAAATTTGATCAACAACAAACTGTCTATGGAACCAACAAAAGCTACGGCGAGCGAGTACTAAGACTTACTGTATCAGAATCTACTTGAAACCTAGAACCACTTCGCGAGACCAGTAAGCTTATGTGAGGAAATCAGTTGATTCTTGCATGTAGATAAAATGGCATTGAGCATTGAATATCAGGCCTTGGACAATTGTCTCGGTTATTTAGAGAGCGCTTCCCGAAAGGTTGAGCTATCTGAAGATGGGAGATTCTGTTATTGTTGGCGTTAAGGGGTCCTTAAATCATGTTTGGTTGTCCGCAAATGAGCTGGGCATTTTTAAAAAGTGTAATGTTACAGCTTCATCCAGTAGCGATGATTTAGTGATCGAGGAGGTTAGGTGGGGAACATCAATGTACAATGATGAGTTTATGAGACGCTTTGCCAAAAGTTCTTACGGTAAGTCAGTAAACCTTGCGATATTAATTTTTTAGAGATATTTGCAGCTCTCCAAAAGAATACTGACCAAAACTTGTAAGTGTGATGCCGTAATAATATATGTTTTAGATTTATTAACTACAGTGTTCAGTACAGAGGTACTTTAGCTGCATGTTCAAATGAAATCTCAACATTTTTGAGTAAGAATAAAATAATAATTTTTTCAGAATTTTTCGATGACATTGGTGATGCCAGGTTAATGCATCTTACTGCTCAAGGTAATCTTATTCAAACGTTTGAGCTTCTGTGGCATCTTGCTGAACTGGTTTTTATTCAGGTACGTTCTATCTTATAAAACGCATCTTTCCAAAATGCCTGTATACGTTGCCTACTACCCTAAAAGCTTCTTGATCGTCACTATAGAGAGGTAATAAATCGGTACATTGTATCGCACTTGAGTGACTGGATAATGTCTTACTTGAACGCTAACCAAAATTATGATCTTTTTGTTCAGAATTAATTTTGCAAACTGAAGAGATATTAAGTGTGTTGTTCTATTCCATTATTGGCCTAACTGGTAGTCTTTCTTGAGGCAAATGTATAGTGGAAACACTTTTTTTATTTTGGCGCTTTAATATCAACTGTAGTGGAAGTATCGGTCTACAAACCGTATCAGTTGGACCTTTTTTCCTTAGCAGTTGTAGCAGATTTACAGTGATACTTCAAAAATTTGAAAAGCTGAAATGGCTGTCTAATATTGTGTAATCGATTTTTCTAAGCTTTGCGTCTACAATAGTTTTGGTTATATTTTTGACCTAATAAAAGAATTATCTTCTCACGCTATTTCGGATCTTTTCGCAAAGCTGGGGTACGCGCTGCTAATGTGTGTTCATTTACAAAAAAAGTCAAGTACATTACCAACATGAGACCTGGCGTATGACGTGCCAGTCCAAGTTGTCATATATGAGCTAGTCAAGTAAGAACACACCAATATAAAAGATGAGGGAATCATGTCATTCATTATGTTCCAAAAACGACATCACATGTAGCTCACCAACGCCTCCTCAACGTAGTGGAGGCTGTCTCAATAAGACTGATCAAGCCTGAACTCTGTGTTCAGAAAGAACATGTCGAAGTGTTACTTCTTCCTTGGCCTTCAGCTAATTAGAGGCCGCTCCTACCATCTTACTCGTTATCTTTCTGTTTCACCATCATGTCATCTGTATATGTATTATCTCAATGCTAATTTGAGAAGATAAATCGATTTCCTTACAATCCCTAGATCTCACTCCATTTTGAAAACGAAACTGCGCTTAACATGGCTTGTTTTTACACTGTACAAATGCATTTTATAAATGTAGGAACTGAAAAGAATATTCTTCGTTCAGATTGTTGCTTTTTATAAATATTACGGGAATCTTTAGTTGTTTGAAATCTTGAAGAAAGTAGTCAAAAGTGATTGAAAATGATCTAAGGACAACAAGGAGGAGTGAGAGTACTGAAATTTAGTATGAATTTTGAGACGAAGATAACCTATGAATATATCTGCGCGATTAAAATCCCTTCCGAGCCGTATCACCTAGAGTCCTCAACCACCAATGTTGTCCCAAAGACCCCAACCAATAAGTGTACACATCCGGACACAATAGCCAAAGGTTTCATGGATTGATAACTTGTTAAAGTCTAACCCCCTCTGGAACCCAAGCTTACTGGTTTAGGCAGTCGGCTCTCAACCATTTGGTCATGGGTTTGAAACCCGATGCACCCACCTAGGTTTGGACAAACAGGTATTATTTGACCTCGCACAATAGGTGTGATTCATTGCCTACTGTATGAGCGTGTGCATGGTTGCTGAGTTCATTTTGATTCCATTCGATACATAACACTTGTCCCAGACACCTGAATCGATGAGTGTTTCTAACCTCACCAGCTAACTTTCCTTTTTGGCTAAACTCTACGTCTGGTTCTTGGGTTACTCGTGGTGGTACCACGATACACTGTTTGTACTACAAAGGCAACAACAGTCGAACACTTGAAGAGTTGGTGTTTTCTCTACATTTAATGACCGTGTTTCAACCATAAAGCAGACCAAAGTGAACTGCAATGTACACTTGTCTACATACTAGCAATTGGATAATATAGTGGCGCCATAAGTGGTTTATGTTGATGAAAGCCAACTGAGTCTTTGTGTCTGTGCAGAGATTTCATCGACCTCTGACCTACCACGGCTAATCCAACTTTCCAATCAAGTGAAGTGGTCAACGCACATAAGCACACCGCTCCCTTTTTTCAGGCAACGAACCAGTGAAGACCAGTTCTGAAGCAACAGCTTGCATTTGGATGGTGTGAAGCACGCCCCAAACATTCTCATTGTTTCCGCAGATGTTTAGAAAACTACATCTTGTCAGTGTCTTACCTTAACGGGACTATGTCATCTCTTAAGTGTTTTGTGACTAGATCAGTCCTTTTGGAGTCATACGACGAAAGGTGGACCTTCATAAGTACGTCTGATAAAGTGAAATAAGAATGAAGGGAGTAGATACCACTCGACGTACACAACTCACCTGATAACTCACCTTAGTCTCTAACACGCCCATGGGTATTCGAGTATAAAACTGTCAACAGAGTTACGTGCTTACTTGGTACTGGTTTCGGTGAGAGACACTACCTTTAGTCCTCTCGATCGACGAAGTTAAATGCTGCCTACAGGTCGAGAAATACAACTAGTATCGGGCGTTGTAAGTGTACGCGTTTTGCAAAATCTCACGGAGGGTCAGTATCTGGTCGATAAACTCATAGTAAAATCTAAAATCTTCCTGATTTGCTCGAGTCTGCTGTCCCCATGCTCCACTTGACTTCTGACAATTACGGAACCGAGTATCTTAGATGCTTTATTCATCGTACTGAGTCATCTGGTTATCACAAGCAGGTTCCTTGGCTTACGTGAAGACTAGCATAATCGGTGATTATGACCAGTCAGGGGGATCACATCTGATTCCCGTGCGTGAACTAATACCTTAGTTGACCTGACCAATAACCCACGACCATTATCTTTAAATATCTCCAGTATTAACCCTAGTAGTCTTCCTCGTTTCAGGTTACTTATAGCTTTCTCGATCTTTGCAAACGTTGGAAGCCTTATGTCTGTTCGATTCCGGACTCGATTTCATAGCGCGCGACGAGGTAGTAGCTTTAGGTTGGACTGTTCGTCACTGTTTTCCCCATCGTTGTAGTTGTCTTCCACGTGAGTGAATCGCAAACCTATCTCTCTCCGCCATGCTTTCACAAATGTATGACGTTCTTATTCCAGTTCCGTTTGTAATTCTAAGTAGCTGTCTACTATTACCTATCGCCTCTACGTTTTATGTCTCTTTAGCCTTCTCTGCCCACCAGTGCTTACGGTCATTGCGTAGACTTCTTACCAGTCTACATTTGAGTTGCTCCCACTCCTCATTGGTCTCGGAGCCTGCAGGAATGCTTTCACGCGCATGCATTAACTCCGAAAAAGTTACTGAGGTCATTCGACCATTTCTAATCACATTCTGAGAGTCAGTTATAGTCTTTAACGCTGTTTTTACAACACTGGAAATAGTACAAAGTTTCTTCCAGGTAAGTGGTTCTGTAATCAGAATTTTTATCAAGTGCTGCAAAGCTGGGAGAAATTGAAGATAATGCAGTAACTGACCGAAAGAAATGCAGAAAACTTGGTAAGTAAAGATATTGGAGAATACTGTTGGTCTGAGGGAAATACAATCGTGTCAGAGTTGTGAGGGCAGTTAGCACTTTTCTAGTATTCCCTGTCATTGTGGAAGGCAGCATCAACATGGGGCGCTTCTCATCGATGAGGGGAAACGTCTTTGCTGCCACACTTCTGTTCAGTGGTCAGTGAGAGGTCGCAGTCAAAACCGTATCATAGCGTGGCTATTTATACCGTAACGGTTATTAATTTTTGTCTTAGCATTATCGAGCAAGCCTTTCTGGTGTAGTTGGACTTCTAAGAACAAATCTGGCGATCAACATAGCTCATCGGATCATTGTGTCAGGCATACTTGACCACCCGTTAAGGTAACAGCTATCGGTCTAGAGTCGACGAGACCCAGCGGTAACATACTCGCTATGAAATCTGGCGAGGTCGAGTGTGTATTGTTGAGGAGCCTCGCACTAGGATGAAACAGCTGTGCAGTTCTCTCAGGTTTCCAGCGGTTCTTCAGCGGGTATCAGTAGAAGTTTAAGACCAACTTGTAACTAATAAATCCCCGCAAACCGCCGAAACTTGGATCACCTGTCGGAGTATTTCAGTGGCATGGCCCAAAACTGATCACAATGGTACAAATATGAACTAATTTTGTCATCTCCAAAGTCTTAGAGCTTCATGTCTTCGTGCTATCTCCTTCCATACACTTGCAATCAAACTGACGTCACCCCTTTTCTGTTCACTTTGTTGTGTGCCTTTCTGAAGTGCGGTAACTAGATCCAGTGAACTTCTGTACCAGGTTCTACATTCATATATCTGCCTGTCTGTGACACTTTAAAAGACCATGAAAATGTTTCTATGGAATCTTAAAGTAAATAATATGTTCAAGATTTGAACAGTTTATTCCTGCAGATAATATCCTCTACTGTCATTTCTACCTTTTAGGTTTCACCGTCCGGATATTTGGCTCTTAGTCTTTGTAGCTGGTTCTACTTACAGTCTCAGGAAGCAGCTAATTGCGCTCGAGAATTTCTAGAGGCTGCAAACAGAGAACAAACAAGTCATGTTCTGTTGCGTGACAAATTGAATAATCTAAAGTCCTTTGAAACTAACAAACACTTTTGGCCGACGGTTTTAAGCTTGGTTTTGCAGGCAAAATGCCAAGAAGCAGCGGGTCTACTCGTTTTGCATTCTAATTCCAACGGCCGTGGTCTTCGAAGTCTGCGTCAGCTTCTTGCATCTATGCCCATCGCTTCTCGTGCTGAAAAAGAAGGTACATTTCACTTTGAATGTTGGTCCCTATTATTGACAATATGTATGCTCAAAAGACGTGCTAATTCGTCAATTTAAAGACTTAAAACTCCGACTTGCAATTGCTTTTCAGAGCACTTTACAAGTATAGAGTAATATAAAACTAAAGGCCGTAACAGTTTATTGTTATGAAATTTACAGCATGTGGGCATATTAGTGAGTTTTTGTTGTACACTTTTCTTGAGCGTATCATAACCAATGAAAGATCTAGATTTTTAGGTCCGGTTGTTAATTCTACGGATTTATCGTTTGCACAAATCAGGTATAAAATTACGACCTGATGGTAGAATGCTCTATATACTTAACCGGATTCTACAGTGGAATATAACGTTAGCATCAATTTTTGTGCGGTTACATACTTAAATTATCTAGTACGTCATGCAGTTAACCGATGAAAATCGTCGAGAGTGAAGTTTAAAAAGTTACCAGAACTTGATAGAAAACTCCAGCTAAGTTTAATAACGTGCTCGTAGTTTGTTAAAGTGAGTCGGATTCGTAGATTTTTATACTCTTATTAAAATTGGCTTCTAAATTAAATATTCAGACATTGTATTCACTATGACCAGTAATTTAGAATAAGAGAAATGAAACAATAATCGTAATTGTAATATGTATATTTCAAGCAATCTGAGAAGTTCGATTCAGCAATTCACCAAAAAGTTTGATCAAGCTCAGTCACAATATTAAATACTTGTGTTACAATAACATTGTCAGTACAGGATATACTCAGTAGCATTTAGAAACTAACCAATAGAATTATAATACGAACCATAGTAGCATGGGGCAGGAATGACCAACGAGAATTTCCTTAAATATCCAAGCACTTTTCATGACCTGATTTGACATCATCCATTGTTTCATGTATTCATCAAATATATGTCTGAGTAGGTACAAATCTTAATTTGTTTTATTCTGATTAATTTTGCCTGCGTTTCCCAACATTTTTCGAAATAATACTTCAAATAGTTTGTCTCTTTATCGCTTTCATTTGAGGGTGCGTAGCATGTAAAATCCGCTCATAATCTACTGAATATCTTTAAACTGATTTTTTTTCCGACAAATAGGTACGTGGGCTGAGTTTGGTGTTCAGTTTTCACAAGCTTGGAATTACTGGCAAGCAGAGTGTGAACACAGATTATCATCGGGAGAATTCGATCATGTTGGTGGCGATACAACTTCAGTCGACTATATTAGACTAATCGTTAACATTTTATCCGGTCGTACTTCTGTTTGGGATGATCCGCGAATCTTGGAAGTAACTAGAGGTCCGCGTGGATGGTTCTTTCGTTTTGTTTCGTTTGTTTTCTACACTGATCAACTGGTGACTGTTGATGGTCTAAGTAGCGATCTTGATCGGTGGTTAGCTTTGACGTCAAAAGGTAATCCTGAGCCAGGCTCGAATTTTGACCAGGTAAGTCCCATTTCATAGTGATTGACTTTGATACGTATTATGTATGTGTGTTATTAACTTGCACTATCACTATCACATCAGTATTTTCACCGCTAGTTTTGCTATCTTGATAAATTAATCATCTTGTGGTAATCAGCTGCAAAACGGAGTACTTTATCTATTCAGGTTACCACATCGTAACAGTACATAAGGGAGGCTCGCAGGTGATACGTTAAAAATTTCATATCGAGTGAGTTTATTTCATGTAGTACAATAGTACAGTGTTATTTTCCAAATCATCTGTGGAGGAGTTTGAATGGTTTTATTTTATAGGAGTTGGGAATGGTAGTTCCAGTAACATGTGTAGTGTTGTTGGAATTCGTAAAACAGTTTATTCTATCAGAATGGTAGTTGACTTCAGAAACATCCGAAAATATGAGCTATATAAATATTAAACGTCAGTATACCCCATTAGAAATCAGTCATTCCAAACTAACCGGCTAGTGCAAAGTCAAGCAAAGATGAGATGATATTCAAATAAAAAAAGGATAAAAGAAAATGGTTGGTTGTGATGTAACAAGCCTATATACCAGCATACTAATCGAATCTAGCTATGAAGACAATCATAAATTGTTGTGATGCCTCAGTTTTGTACAAAACATTGTTATCGATCCGAACATTTTAACGTGTCATTCCCACATCGTTTTGGCGGTATGACTAATAGTCTGTTTTCTGCCTCCATTGTAATGTAATTCGCTGATTGGTTAACTTTTACTCTTACTATGCGAATTTCTCCGATTGCGGACAAGGTCAGTTTTCATGTGTATACTTGTTCACGTGTTTTGGATTGATTCGTTGCCATTATATTATATTCTCGGAGTAATACACTCTCCCATCAGCCAGCTTCGGTCTTCTCTCTATTCGTCCCGGGGTTGCAGCCAGTGTCTCTTGCGTACCAAGTTACCTGTCAGCTAAGCGCACGTATTATATTCGCTTCGGAATATATACATATACCATTAGCACTTCGAAACCATAACAGTGGCGACGGGATTGGATCAAAAATGGACTATTCGATGATAAACAGAATTCTCGAACTGCAAATGAAGATTATCGAATTATTAACTCAGTCCAGAATTCCTGCAGCTGACTCATCGAATCCTACGCAAGAACCAACTCTAATGTTGAATGATATTGCTGCTGAATGTCAACGATCGGTGAACCTACAACGGGATACAAGTCTAGTCCAGCCCGGACGCCAGGGTGATCATGAAGTGCATGTGGTTCGCCAGAAATCGAATTCCTATGCATTCTTTTCTGGTCCAAAGACCCCTGGTTCTTCGTCTCCTGTTCGACATCCCGGCAGCCCATACAATACTAGAATTAACTCGAAGAAGACCCCACCTTCCCCCTGCTGGCATTGTGGCGCATGGTATTTCGTTAGGTCTCGACCTTACAATCTCTGCCTTTATTCTAAAGGTCTTAACGAGTAAGAGTAAAATTTAACCAATCAGCGAATTACATTACAATGGAGGCAGAAAATAGACTATTAGTCATACCGCCAAAACGATGTGGGAATGACACGTTAAAATGTTCGGATCGATAACAATGTTTTGTACAAACTGGGGCATCACAACATAAATGAAGTAAGCACCCTAAACTCAGAAGTGAGATTCCTACTGAACAGATGTTAAATGTTCAGGTAGGTCTATCCTCTTTGTTTTTCCGGTTTCAAGACCAATCATTCACAGACCAAGTGTGTGGTAATGGAATCGTCATTTTTCCCAATATAAGGAGATATATTCATGAGCAGTTAGGAATGTACGGCTCTTATAATATTTAGTGATGTTTTCAAATCAGAATATATCCTTGTTTTCTTTGAGGACAAACATTTTGGTAGAAGAAACCCAGTTTGGTTAAACAGTGAACAAGGAGAATTAGTTGTGATGGATTCAAAATATGATGGAAACAAAAGTCACTTAGACACTGGTGTTTCCAGAAAACCATCGCACTCATATATTATCGCAGACTTTTGGCTATCCCACTACACATCAGTAAAGACAGACTTTTGTCCAAGTAATTGACCACGTATCTAACAAGTAAATCTTAAAAGTCTAAATAAGAGAAACCTTACCGTTCTATTACTGTCCTCATAGCTTCATAAGAATATAACTTGCATTGCAAGCAACGATTGTGACATGAATGATCATGAATTCAAGGTGTATTTAGTGTCGTCATATAAGGGAGGAGCGTCAGAAACTCGATGTAGAATTTATTGTAAGGCCGGAACTAGGGTGGCATTTGAACCTAAAATCAACGCAAAGGCAATCTAAAAACTCTCGATCCAAGAGAACAAGATAACGTAATATACCAAATATAATAAAAATGATTGAGAGGCAAGTACGTAGGTAAAATCAGCTGATTGTGGTCAGTTAGGTTATCAGCGAATGAAAACACATGAGTTCAGACCCACCAAATAGAGTAGTCTGGACACGATTTCAGTCACTGCTATGTACACAGTGACTCCATAGTTTGGAACAGAATAACAATCTGAAAAAGCTGTTTCAGTAAAGTGGGAGGAGTGGTTAGTGACCAAATTCTTGTTCATCGAACTAATGTATAACATATACTACAGAAATAAATTAACTTTAATACCAGAGATTTATAAAATTCTTCTTTCATTTAAATTTAAGCATGGGAAGTAGTAGAACTACATTTATCAAGCCAGAGAGTAATTTAATCACACTGATATAATCATGGACAATAAATTTCACTCGGAATGCCATTCCGTAAATATCATGTCACCTCTTTCCTTATTAAATGAGCTTATAAAATTATGTTTTACCACAGTGATTAAATTCTACTCCTACGTAAGATAATAAAGTTTTGTGCTACGTCATCTGTTTTTATTGTTCCACAGAACTTAACCAAGAAGTGTATTATTTATTTGGTGGGTCAGAGAAATATTAGTTTATTTGGGTTAATGAATTTGTTGCTAATATTTCAACAACACTTGTGTCATTTTACAGTTATATATAGCGCTTAGCTCGAGAAAACTCAGTAACCTAGTTATCTTCAACTAGAATCTAGAGTAGTTGAAATGTAGAATAGTCGGATAAATTTCTAATTTATTTAGAATATGAGTTTTCGAAATTTAAGTAACGCTTTTGAGTAGTTTGAATTGTAAGTTCGCAAATGACAATATTGTTCTTGACTAAAAGTATTCTTTTTACTACTTTAGTGTTACTAAAAATGCCATAAAAAATATCGCCATGTAATGGTAGTATTGTGACCTCACTTATGAAGTTAGAGGTTGTTTTTGTCATAGAAGTAATTGATTTGTACTACTTACAAAGGGTTTTGTTGTTAAAAGTAGTAATTATTCCGAAGTTTTAATTATGTAGATCCTTTCACATTATTTCTTATTTTGGTTGTTAATTTTCCATCTAGTCCGTTGATGCTTTGATCACGAGCATTTTTCGTGTGGATATCTTTTCGTTTGTTCGTATATCAAGTGAGAAACTGAGTAATTGGTGGTTTGTTACGCATTTTACAAATCTTCTGAGTCATATCTATCCGGGTGTTTTAAATGATCTTCAAGGCGCACGTAAACATGATGAAATGTCTATAGATTCGTTTACAGAGATTAGCCGTAAGTAACTAAGACATTACGGATTTTATGGTTTTTTACAACTACTGGTTAGATCAGGTCTATTTCTTAATCTTTCATCACGTTGGTGTGAATCTTGATGTGTATGGTGTGATGTGTTCTACTACCCAGTAATTCAAGGATGTACATCAACAATGACCGTGTGATCAAGAAAATATCGGAATATATTTCAATGATACAATATTTTCCTTCTGTGGGTAGTGCTCAACTTGTGTAGTGTCTTTTGCATGGACCTCATATACTACTAGAAAGTTGTTTAAGAGTTGTTTTTCATTTAAAGTAACATATTTAAATAATTCTTCATATATTCTCTCCTAAGTGAATGATTACGTAATTGTTCTTACCTAAAAGCTGTAATAAGTAATACCCACGAAACCAAAGTAATGCTGAGTACAACAAAACTTTATAACAAACTTATCAAACACTTTTAATTCAATGGACTGTTGTATTCAGACTCGTTTGTGTACCTTAAAAACGATGGAAGTTTTTGTCTGCATCAGTTGGAAAGTTGGCGACATCGAAACTCTAACGGGTGACATGAATGCCAAACTTGAAGCGGACAACACAGGAAGAGAACTCATCATGGGTCGAGAAGCGCTCAACGAAATGAACAAAAATCAAGAACTGTTTGCAGAATTCTGCACATTCAACGATTTGGTGATTGCAGGCATTATGAACAAACACAAGGATATTCACAAAGCGAGCGACATGGACTTCACCAGATGGACACACTAAAAATGAGATTGACTTCATCTGAAGAAGCAGAAGCAGAAGAAGAAAGTGGATACGCAGCCAGCCTACTGGACACAAGATGAAGAAGGGGAGCAGAGGTAGGTTGACACCACTCACTATCTAGTGCAAGGGTTCTTCCAAATCGAGTTGAAAGCCTTCACAGAAGCTGGTGATGATAGACCACAGTTGAAGTTCGACACGCAGAACGGAGAGTGAACTGAAGGACGAAACTACAAAGGACATCTTCACGTGAGTTAGTCATCAGGATAGAATGGGAGATGATATCGAGGAACATCCCTGGAGAAACCTGTGTGGGAGGACACTGGAACTCTTTGAAAGAGACGTGGAAGGAAACCTGCTGCATAACCGTATTAGGAAGGAAGAGGAAACAAGACAAGGAATGGATCTCCACAGACACATGGAAGCTGGGAGAGGAGGTAGAGGAAGATGGTGAAGCAGAAGATAAGCCAGTGCAGTGCAGTGCAGTGCAGAGATGAACAAGGAAAAGAGGAACTGATACAACATATAAAACACTACACTAGACAAAGAAGTGAAGAGGAGTGCACGCAAAGACAAAAGACACTTCTACGACACACTGGCAAGTGAAGCAGAACAGGCTGTAGGTAGGAGAGACAGAGACCTGACAAGATTGTATCAAATAAGCAGGCTACTATCTGGGAGGAGACCAGATCAGATCAGATGAAAGCACGGAAAGATAGTGAGGTGAACTTAGTTACCAAAGAGGAGAAACAAAAGAAACGATGAGCTGACCACTTCAAAAATCTCTTGAATCGACCACCAGCACTTGCAACTCATCCAGAAATACTGCCAGCAGCCTAGCTACAGAATTAACAGTGAACACAAGCCCTCCGACAGAAGCAGAAGTGAAGTCCTGAACTCCATAAAGCTGGTGAAATCCCGGAAAGCAGCAGGACCAGATGGAATTCCATCAGAAGCTCTGAAAACAGACGCAGAGACAACAGCGGACATGCTCACACCACCATTGCAGAAGGTTTGCAAGGAAGGAAGTGAGGGAAGTTACCTGCTCATTGATTGGAAGGAGGGCTACCTTTTCAAACTCCCAAACATGGGAGACCTAAATGTTTGCAAGAACTGGCGAGGAATCATGCTGCTGTCCACCCGAAGCAAAATATTATGCCTCATCATACTGCAGAGAGACTAGACGATACGCTGGATTCAAAATTACGACCGGAACAGTCTGTCTGTCTGTCTGTCCGGTTGGCTGGTTGGCTTCAGAAGAACAAATCATGTGTGCATCGAATTGCAACGCTACGCAGCGTCACACATCATTATAGAACAGAGCATAGAATGGTAGTCAACTCTCTACCTCAACTTCATCGATTTTGAAAATGCCTTCGACAGCGTCGGCCGAGAAGTAATTTGGCAGGCAACTGCTTCAACACTACAGTTTTAGTGGCACAAACCTTTAACAACCTCATTCAATAGCTTTATGTTATATGAAGACGCCGCTTGCCGAGTGATTCATAATGGTAAGTTCAGTGACACGTTTGAAGTGAAGACGGGAGTAAGACAAGGTTGCCTACTATCACTCATGATCTTCCTGATTGTGGTGGACTTGATCATTCAGCAAACCGTGAGGAGCTGTGAGGAGATGTGCATACTCTGTTTGACCGATGAAAACAGCCTAGATGGTTTGGATTTCGCTAATTTTGATTTATGTTTCATGTCGCACAAGCTGGGAGATCTACAGGCAAAAACCAACATGTTATCAGAAGAGGCAGGGCAGCGAAGACGGATCTTCATTCAGGTGAGCGTAGAGAAGAAAGAAGAGATGAAGATACCCAACCAACAAGAAGCATCAGTCACCATGAACGGGAGAAACCTGAAGAAAGTAGCCTCTTTCACCTACCTGCCTGTGCAGCATCGTTTCAACTACAGACGGCAGCGGCACAGATGAGAACGCCAAAGCCAGGATCGGGAAGACAGCAAGACAGGCTTTCATTAATTTGAAATCACTGTGGAGATCTACTGCACTCAGTACAAAGAACACGATCCGGATTTTCAACACCAACGTCAAGTCAGTGCTTCTATATGATGGTTCAGAAACTTGACGCGTTATGAAAAGCATTTCCAACAAACTGCAGACATTCATGAACAGCTGTTGCCTACGCTCACTCGTTACTGAAGATCAGATGACCAGAAAGAATAAGCAACAAGGAATTCTGGTTGGCAACGTACCAACCAAGAACCTATCGCTCAACAAATATGCAGAAGAAAGTGTAGATAGATTGGGCATGCAGTGAGAAGACCGATTGGGGACTTCACGCGTCGAATCCTTGAGTAGAACCTGAAGGGGAAACGACGAGTTGGGCATCCGAGGTGAGGGTGACATGGAGGAGATGGTGTGAGGAGGAAATGAAAGCTTGTGAGCAGACGTGGAGCCAGGCTGAAAATACTGGAGAGAAGAGAGTGCAATGGAGACGTGCTACTGAAGCCGTATGTTCCACTAGGAACCCAATGGACAAGTAATAATAATAATAATAATAATAATAATAATAATCAGTTGAAAAGATTATTTTAGTTGTCCCTGTATATATGAAAATGTCATCTGATCTCGTTGCTAATTTCATTTGATATTTTTTAGTTAATTATTAGTACTTCATCATCAAAACTTACTTAAAATAGCAGTTATAAGCTCATGACAAGTACACGTTGTTGGAAGGCGAGACTAGCGATATTATTCGTAGCTTATGTAGAAATGTTATGAGATGCATCAGTTGGTGTAATAGCGTAGAGGCTCGACTTTCAAGTCATGCGTCCCGGGTTTAAACATCGCTCCAACATTTTTGACATGGGTAACCGGTTAGTATCATAAGTGCTCATACAGCAAGTGTGCTTGTAGCCTAGTAATTAAGTATGTACCGGATTGAGTTAAAATCATTAATTGGTTTTTACATGGCGACGAAAGCTGCTGAAATTTTTCAATCAGACAAACGAAGTAGTGCAAAAGTATGTTGTTCGAAAATCATATCACTGTTAAAATGCCGAGTTGTTTTTGCCAATAGACAGTGAACCGTGTCTACTGTGTAGTTACCGAAGTAGGTGAAGTTGGGTTTGAATCCGGGATTATTGGTTGAAAGTTAAGTACGCTCAAGCCAAACGACGAGTATACTGCGCTGCAGTTCGTTCTGTCCCGTTATACGACTGTGAGCCATGGCCGTTAAAAGTAGAAGGCATGAAGCGATCACAGGGTTTTGATCATAAATGTCTTCGTAGCATTGATCGTGTTCGGTGAAATCACCATGTGAGCAATGCTGAGGTCAGGCGAAGGACATTAAGCAAGATAGACAAGTCGATTGAAGAGGTTGTAAAGCTTCATCAACTGAAGTGGCTTGCACATGCGCGGCGCATGCTGAACCACCGCTATGCTAGCTGAAGTAGAATTAGTTTGGAAGAGGGTTCAGGGCGGCGTGACCGAGATATGGTACCATTCGATGAAGCCTGTGACTGTTGGTTCGAGCCGTGTCGGGCGATATAGATTGCCTGGTTGGGGTCTTCTAGACAAAAGAAATCAGTGGTTGAGAACTCTTGATGACATGGATGAAAATCTATCACTATGGCACAGATATATTCATTTCTTGACATCTTCTAAAGCTTGAATATTCGCATTGTCCTGTATCTTCATGTTTTTTATTCTTACACACAATGTGTCTACTTCGATATCTTTTTCTATCCACTTGTTCTTTGTATACTACTTTGAAGTGTGGCAGGTAGAACCGATGCACTTGTATGTGAGGTTCTACGTTGATTTTGTCTGTCTGTTGTAGTAACTATATCGTTGTTTTAATGGAAGATACCAAATATCCCACACTTTGTGTAACCTCGTAAGTTTTATATTTCATTTGTTTATTTCAGGTTCAGGTAAATCGAGTGCTAAACTTCTTTGTTAATCTTATTAACTTGTAGATAAATCTTCATTGGTTGAATTTTTTCTTTTGGGTTATGCGGAGTCATTGGCTTCAGAATCTAGCCTACTACCTATTGCACTTGGATATTTAGATCATTGTAAATCTGGGCGTGCACTTCAGTCAGCATTAATATTAAAACATGCTGTTCCAGTTTCAACTAGAGCGACAAATTGGGTAAGTTGATTAATTGTTTAAGATGTTTTGGACCCTTTTTCTTCTTACGAAAAGTAGACGCTTTATAAAATACCAAAGGAGTTCTCTGAATATGTGCATTTAATCAATCGTATTAACGCATAAAACTGCTTCTTGCTTATTTGTTTTAACTATCTTGTACGAAATGTTATATGTTTCAATCTGGAAACAAATTGCACATCGTGGTGGATTTAGGTCTAAACCTGTGATTAGATTTCTGTCTAGTCTTTGGATGATTTAGTGGATGAAGATATAAACTCATAAGTTAAAATGTGGCGTGTAATAAGTAACTTACTGGAGAAATTGACTTGACAAATTAAATGCCAGAACAAAAACTGTTAAAAAGTGTACTTTCAACTTTGTTATTAATGTAGACATTTATTTTCTTTTAGTTTAAATATTCGTCCTTTTACTATATACCAGTGGGACTGTGGCTCATTGGTTTAAGGAAATAACTTTCAACCGATGAGACGGATTCGTAGACTGCTTCACTTACTGAGGTTTGGGCAGTCTGTTAGCATCATTAGCCCACAGACAATAGGTGTGTCGCATCGCCTAATGCACGAATGTGAATGCATTTCATCGTTACTGTATATCAAATTAGAATAGCTTACCAGACTCTCCGCTTTTCATTCGAAAAAATAAGGTGGATCTGTCTACTTCGAAGATTTTTTCAACTTGCCTAATTTCAAAGATTGTCATTCAAGTTAGAGTGTGGTTCTTCATTCTCTTACATGATTAGTTTTGGTAAAACGACTCTTCAAAAATTATATATATATAATATATATATATATAATATATATATATATATATATATATCCGATCTTCTATACAAGATGCAATAATTAGGGTTTTTTTTGTTTATAAAAGTTTATTCCTCTTGGTCAATGTTTACTTTTTGTAAACATCAGTATTATTGGTTTTGGAATATAATAATTCCCTTGGATTTCATAAGGGTTTTTATACACAATATTACATGTTGGCATCTGGCTGATTGTGTAAGCTTTAGAATGTTTTGGAAGGGAAGAGACTTGTGGTACATACGACAGGTAGTGTAATTTGTGATAGTTTTCCTTTAGTCTTCTATTGCCAAAGAGTACCCTACTGTTCTATGTTGAATGCACAAAGTGAAACATCTCATGTGTTACACAATCGTAGAAGAGAACTGCATGTTTATAGTTGTCTACCAAGATATTCTATTTAGTCAGTCGGTTTACCACTTCTCGAAAAGTTGTCTACTAGGATTAACGAAATAATCCACGTAAGATCATAGCAAACTGGTTGTGAATATTCTACCAAACATATGTGTCAATTGATGGATTTTGTTCCTAATTGTATTGTTTTGGAGGAAATGTCGACAGTTATGGTTTATACGAACTGTTTTAGCCATATCGTGAAGCTATAAAACTTATGACTCACCTTATACTGTATAATTACAATGATGAATATGGATGTAGAATATCCTGTTCATAATATAGTTCTATTAATTCAGTCATATTGCTTATCATCGTTCATAGTGTTATGATGTTCTACGTCCTAGTGTTGTATTTTTAAGGAGCTTATGTATCATATCTATAATGACTGAAATTTAGGTTGGATTCATCATCAATAGGTTACACAAGATTTTTGACTTTCCGCTGCTGATCACTACTTGAATTTGTTAATACATTTTCATATCAAATAAAATTTCATCAACACTATGAACGAGAGTATAATATTGATTACTATTAAGTGCTTACGTCATGTCTATAGTGTAGTAAGATAAAGAATCAGATCCAAATGAACATTTGTTGCTGAGGTGAATAATTCAATTAATTTCCCGTTGTATAAGCTAGAGCCGAGCTCAAACAAGGCAATATTACCAATCTCAGCTGGAATAATTTGGAAGTATGAATCATCCATGACACCGAATTTTCCTAAAGAATGCATATATCTTTGCTTTTGGAGAAGTGTTCCCATCTTCGAACAATGTGAAGCGTGTCACTCTCTTACGAGCATATATCTTTGCTTATGATTGTTAACGCGCATATACAATTGTGTGTGACAATCTTACGCACCTTCCGATACCTTGGTATGTTTGTCATTTATTATAGGTAGTTAAATTGGGGTATTGACTGATCGAATGCAGCCAACGATGAAGACTGCAGCACTAGGTAACTGTCTAATTATGGGAACAAACTTGTAGGAATAGTTGTATGTAACTCTTTGGCCCAACCTTTCCCCTCAACATATTATTGCCGGTATCCGTAACACTAAATAAAAACCCTCACTTTTTGAAGTACTCATCTTTTTTCTTCTAATCAGTTAGGTTACTGTTGCATTGAGAAACGTATTACGATAATTATGTGTAATTATCATTATTGTTATTATTATTATTATTATTGCTATTTTACATAGTTCATCAGTCAAGCCAAAGTTAGAGGATTACACTCCACTTCTGAAGAACTTGCCAAGTTAAATTGTCGTCGATATTTAAGTTTGTCGTTGCATTCCAGTGAGAATTCCAGCCATACTATATCTCGGTGTGTTCCAACCTGCATTGCTGTAGGATGGGCTCTACTTGCACATGATTATCCTATTGTCAGTCGGTTAGCAGAAATTTCTCTTGCTAGAGATTGTGGATTTACCAATAAAGATATATCAGATGGAGATCGGAGAATCTTTCCACCTGCATCTACAGAAGTGGCTGAGTTGGCTGCAATAATATTGGGATTTTGTAGAGGATCATCATTCAGTGAACCATCAAGTAACAGTGCGAAAACAACAGAAATTAGTCATCTTCAATTATCACCAGAATTAGCTTTTCTAGTCCGTTATGCTGAACTTCAACAGTGCTTTAATGATGGTGACTGCGAAGGTGCAGTTGATCGACTTATCGACTTATTACTTACTAGTCCTGGTGGTTCACTCATTTACAATTCTAATGATCAAAATTCGATGACTTCATCTTCGGGTGCGGGTTTGCGTATACCGACTTGTCTCAAAGTAAGACTACTTGGTGAGGTAAGACATTTATTAGGGCGAAAATGCTTGCGTCGAGATCAAGTTGAAGTGCTGATTACTGCTCTGGTTGAATTAAGATCAGATTTGGATATGAATCTTAACAATTCAAGTGCTAGCAATGATATGCACTCATTACTAACAACAATTCATATATCTCTTGCTAGAGAATTGGCGTCAACTTTTTTCACTACTTGTAGCAGCATTCCTTTAACTCCATCTTTGTCACCGAGCAGTGCAGTTAGCGCAACCTGGCATTAGCTCTCTCTGCCTTCGTTTCTATTCATTATTTCACGTCACTTTTTAAAGGGAACCCTACGCATTTAGGATTTTATATTTCTAATACTTTTGCCAAGTTATCTTGAAAAATTTTACGATTTTGTTTTATTCTGAATTTATTGTACTGTATTAAAATATATGGATAATTATTTTTGCTATTTTCTTAGTTCCTTCTGGTCAACTGTCTTACATATTCATTGACTTTGTAGTAATTTCTACTATTTTACTGTGCATGATGATGTGATTTGTGGCATACTTCACGAACCAGCTTTCGGTTAAAGAATCGCGTTTGTCTATTTCAAGTACTTCACGTTTTATTGAGATTGTGATATCCTTAACTGTTTTATGTTGTAAGCATTAAGTATAACTATGCCATCGGATGGAAGTTAGTCAGGAAGTTAATACTGACTTTTGAGTTGTTGGTCCATATAAAATATATGACCAGTCAGAAAGCCGATTATATATTCTAGCTTTCTTCCTTATGTAACCAGTGGGTTAAATCCTTTTTCATTTACCGTTGATCTTAACGGAGATAGTTTACTGTGACACTTTCAAGTTTTGTATGTCTCATCACAGTCTATCGCGCCAAGTAATTTTAGCTGAAGTAGGCTCAGACTGGAAAAAGGTTGGAGGTGATCAGACTAAAACATGACACCAATCTATGAAGTTTCTAACTATTGGTCTAAGTCGTGTAGACTTCTCAGTCGGCGTCCAAGTGACAACTGAAACCAGTGGTCTGAATGGCAAAAATGCATCCACGACATCTTAATCGTCACACCGAATTTCATTGTTACTTTATTCCTTCTTGTTCTCTACGACTCATCTTTTTGCCTTCTCGCTTAAGGTGCCGATAGTGGGTACAGCTATTCGACCTGCTGCTTAGTAATGCCAGTTTCCTTGTTGATACTGACTAACGGGCACTAGTATCATGAATAAGACATCTAAATTGAATGAGTACTTATTTTCATCAGTCTTACAAGCCGCAGTCTAAAAATTCGGTTCAGTACTGCATGCAGATTCGGATGACAATTAAAGCTAACGTATGTAACCATATTCATTTACGGTCATTCGAAGATTACACATACGTTGAATGTAAGCTAGTGAGGGAACTGTCGGACCGATTCGGGATGAATTTTTCACTGTGATTTCTGTTTGTGTATTCAGTTATTATGAACACCCTGTGGTGAAGCTTACTTGTTTCCATTATTGGGACTTAGTTTTAAGTATTTATTTTTGATATGTATGCGTATTTTATAGATTTCGTATACTTAAGCGTTACACTTTATATTCAGTATGACAGGTATTGTTGTTTAACCTACACAGTCGCAAATGTTTTGTCGCTCGGCGCATCAGAATCTTGTCGGTATCGAACAACCATTTATTTGTTTTAGGTGGAACTAATCACCCATTGACTTTTCTTAGGATTCATTCCAAAAAGTTGAATTTAATGTGCAACAGTTTCGTACTAGAATAATGTAACTTTGGCTGAACGGAATATTTGTGCAGCAGTTTATCGATGTTAGAGTTTGCATAGTGTATCATTCAGTAACTTTTGTTGGGAGGGAGTAGGATCCTATCAGCAGTACCTTTATTGCTTCTTAATTTCACAGCGTAAAAAATCTTTTCCATGCATTTATTGTTCGTACGAAATTGTCATCATCATCAATATCAACATAGGGTCCAGGCATTATTGAGTAATGGTCCAAGTTGCTACACCTCATAACAGTACACGAAGTAAGAGAGCAATAAGATGGAAGAAATTAGTAAGAGCGAGGAAGGGAAAATGAGTAAACGCTGAATTCAGTATAGTGATTAAGATACGTCTACGCCACTGACATCACTTTTGAACCAAATCACTTAGAGTCTCCAAACACTGGTTTCTGTCGTCATGTGAACCTCAACCGGGCTAGTTTGCATCTCCTCACATGGCTCAAGCCAACATGCTCTGATGCCATGTTTTAGTCTGACCGACCTGAGCCTTTTTCCATCCTGAACCTACTTCGACTAACATTGCACGACGAGGCAGACAGTGACTCGGCAAGTGTAACACATGTCTCAGTCAGTGAAGGTTCACAACTGCATCAACTGACTTTCCTCGCTGGAAATCTGTACCTGACTTTCGCTTTACTCACGGGGTGACACCGCCTATGCTACAAAGAAAACATTGGTCAAACACCCGAAGCCTCATGTCTTCTACCTTTAATGATCGTGTTTCACAACCAGTAGAACAGAGCTAACTGCAGCGCAGTACACTTGGCCTTTCATGGACAATCGAACGCCATAAATAGGGTGATTTGGCAAAAGCCAGTAGAACCTTTTGTAAACGTGCAGAGATTTTGCTGGTCACTGACCCACTAGGGATGATTTGATTTCCCAGTTACTTGAAGTATTCAGTGACTCATCCACTTGACTTCCTATTGCTAGTCAGGGCGCAGCTAAAGATCAGTCCTAGAGCAATAATTTCCATAGGGGTTGTGAGAAATACCACTGAAGGTGTCCAGAAGACTGCATCTTGTCAGTGTCTTCACTTTACAGGCCTATATTATCTGCGTTATTCTAAATCTACTAAGGATTCTCCTTTTATTAGATCAATGCACATGCACAACACGTCCACGGGTGTTCGAGTACAGAGCCTTCGTACCGGATTCAGTGAGAGACACTCATAGGACCTTTGGAGTCGCCTTCATGTCGAGAAATACAACTAGTGTAGGACATTAGTAAGTGTACCTGTGTTTCAAAACCTAGCAAAGGGTCAATATCTGGTCGGTAATTCCATAGTCAAGTCTGAAGTCTTCCTGGTTTGCTCGCGTCTGCTGTCTCCATGCTGCACTTCTGACAACTGTAGAATCGAGAATCTTAAATACTATATTCATCAGACTGATTCCTCTGTGGTTATCACAAGAGGACTTCTCGCTTTTCTTGAAGACTGGGACAGTTAGAAATTAAGATTGAAATTGTCTGTGTTTGGTTTATATTTTAATTCAGAAAGTATACTGATATTCAACTTACTTGCATGAAAGTTTGTCACAGTCTCCTACTCCTATTAACTCAACGATTTATATGAAATAAATTATGGGACTGACTTCGTGTCCAGAACTACATTTTCTGTAAAATAGGTCTTTGAATTCAAGAAAAAATTCGTTCACGGAACATTTTACTACGATTATGAAAAATTACCTTGTTTTAAAGATGTTGAGATTAAGTTCTGTTTTTTGAAGTTTACCAGTTCAAGGTTGTTAAAAATATGTTTCATCATAATTAGAAATTCTACCAATCTCTTAGATTCGATTATGATTCATCATCATGTAGTCGGAACCCTATTAAGAAAGAAATCCCCATTATTAATTGTCACCTGCACATCTACTCATATGTTTGGATTGGAAAGGCAAGTTACTTTGTTTGTATAATTTCTCTGGAAGTCAGCCGCAAAGCTAGGTGTATCAATAGTTCACTATTAAAGTAGACTGGTTGTACTATAACACAAACAGTTTGATGCATTGTTCATTAAGTTTGCCAACAATTCTTTTAGCATGATGTTGATGTTAGTTGTTGACTTTTTGTTTAGATACATGAATTTGATGTCGTCAGCGCGTTTCAGTTATCTTCATGTCTTACAACGAACAGAAAACAATGTTTTGTAACGTCTTGATTTCTTAAAGAATTCAGAGTACAATTACGAGGCCTAGGTCATTTATTCATTTTTCAAAGTTTTGAACACATATGATGAAGTCAGCGTAGCTACTTACTGGTTCTAAAGTTCGTTTTGAATGGTCGACGGGTTTCTTATGAATGCTGATCACTAGGACGAGTGTAAAGTGACTGCACATACTGTACTTTAACTTCCGTAACAACACATGCCTCAAAACGAAATGTTTCATCCGTCAATGATTTATGGTGCCAGATATAAGGGAACTAATGGTGACTACAAACCTCGCCTGGTTAACTAGCTGACCGGTCATAAACCCGGGTAAAGGCGGAAGGTTGAGCATACGACTACCAACCCTACACCGTAAAACCAGTTCAACTGCTACAGAAACTTCGAAGCACAGACAAAATATAAAAGATAAAAACAAAATTATTCCTCACTGGAATCGGAAAGGCGAAATGACGCCAGTTGGTCAAAGCCTTCGAGAAGCGAATTGGCCGATAAGTCTTCTCTCTCTCTCTCTCACGATAAAAGCGAACGTAAACATGGAATGTCAGCACAATGTTTCAGCCTGGCAAGGGTGTCCAGATTACAAAAGAAATTAGAAGGTATATCATTAAAGTGCTAGGAATCTGCAAACGCAAATCGAATGGAAGTGGATTCTTCAAACTGTCAACTGGAGAGTCAATCATCTACTCCGATATTGTCACTCAGATGACAACCACAAGCACATTGAGTTTTCGAGTGGCTATCATGATGTGACCAACAGCATCGAAGGCTCTCATGCAGTGGGAACCAATCTCTTCCCAGATCATGACAGCAAGGTTCAACTCAAAAGGAAGGAAAGTCACAATCATTCAAGGCTACACACCTACAAATAATGCAGATGAAGAGAAGAAGGAGGAATTCTACAAACAACTGAAAATCACTACTGGACAAGACCCCACCACATATGGTGACATCAAAAATGTAATCGGTGAAGTGAATGCTAAACTCGGAGCAGGCAACCTTGGTAGAGAACCAATCATAGGTGGGAAAGCCCTCGACGAAGTGAACGAAAATCGAGAACTGTTTGCAGAATTCTGCACATTCAACGATTTGGTGATTGCAGGCATTATGAACAAACACAAGGATATTCACAAAGCGAGCGACATGGACTTCACCAGATGGACACACTAAAAATGAGATTGACTTCATCTGAAGAAGCAGAAGCAGAAGAAGAAAGTGGATACGCAGCCAGCCTACTGGACACAAGATGAAGAAGGGGAGCAGAGGTAGGTTGACACCACTCACTATCTAGTGCAAGGGTTCTTCCAAATCGAGTTGAAAGCCTTCACAGAAGCTGGTGATGATAGACCACAGTTGAAGTTCGACACGCAGAACGGAGAGTGAACTGAAGGACGAAACTACAAAGGACATCTTCACGTGAGTTAGTCATCAGGATAGAATGGGAGATGATATCGAGGAACATCCCTGGAGAAACCTGTGTGGGAGGACACTGGAACTCTTTGAAAGAGACGTGGAAGGAAACCTGCTGCATAACCGTATTAGGAAGGAAGAGGAAACAAGACAAGGAATGGATCTCCACAGACACATGGAAGCTGGGAGAGGAGGTAGAGGAAGATGGTGAAGCAGAAGATAAGCCAGTGCAGTGCAGTGCAGTGCAGAGATGAACAAGGAAAAGAGGAACTGATACAACATATAAAACACTACACTAGACAAAGAAGTGAAGAGGAGTGCACGCAAAGACAAAAGACACTTCTACGACACACTGGCAAGTGAAGCAGAACAGGCTGTAGGTAGGAGAGACAGAG